GGACATAGGCTCTTTTCAAGCCTCAACACACAGCAATCTCATAATGTTCAGAGGAGATGGTGCACCAATAACTTATATGATAACTTATTTAGCTTAATATATATGTGCACGTACTGAAAATGACAGCCTCCACACAGCATTTGATCTCTTATTAGACTCAACTGGCTTCTCTAAAAGTAAAAGAACCCACCCACCACTTTAATTTGAAATCAGGGGTCTCAAATTCAAATGAGCCACAGGCCACTGCTGTCACCGTCATCTCATTGGACTGCCACTGTAGTGTTCACATAGTAGAAATAATTATATTTGTTATTATTATATTTACATGCTTCCTGTTTCTGCTCAGTGACAACTTGTACTTTTCAACTCTCCTTTTTCTCCCTCACAGACACATAACAGGTATGGCCATCCATTCTCCCTCATCACTGCCCATGAGGCTTGATTCTTAAAGGGCCCGTAACCCCTGCTCTAGATCTTGTTCTGACATTTGGCATAGAAACTGAACATTTAGCAGTATTTCTATTCTGTTCTATTCTTTTCTGAATGCCCTCTTTTGTCTGATCATTTCCTAATAACTTTTGCATTTACAATACTGGATTACACAGCAGTGGGCAGCTCCTCTGAAAAAGAGAGCTTCCATTCAGAAGTACTGAACTCCCTCCTTTAACTCCAAATGTGCAAAATAAAGCAGACATGCATTAGCTAAAGTACGGAGCCCCGCAGGGGACATGGGAGAAAAAAAAATTAAGACGGACTTTTGCGAGATCTCGCAAAAGTCCGTCTTAATAATTTTTTTTCTCCCATGTCCCTGGGGCTCCGTACTAAAGAGGAAGTGGCGTAACACCAATTTAGAAGATCATCACCTCTGTAAAGGTAGAACATCTTACTATTCATCGCTGACTGAAGGAAGAAAGAACAACTCTAGGTTTGTCTTCTTTGTATCATTGTAGGGTCTTTACCTCAGACATAAAGCACCTCGGGGCAACTGTTGTTGTAATTTACTGCTACATAGATAAAACTGAATTGAAACTGAATTGCACTGAGCTTATGTGCGACATGCATGCATGCTGTAAATCCCTCCTAGTTAATGTTAACATACAAATAATGTGATCTCCATTCATGAAAAGAAGAAAAAAACGGTGCTTCTAATAATAATTTCTAAATAAATAAATATGAATATTTACATGTGAGGTTCAAGGTTCTTTATTATTTGTCACATGCATAGTTATACAAGTATAACACACAGTGAAATGTAGCCTGACACGCTCCTCGACATGTGCAAAAATTGGGGGGGGTGTAGAGGAAGAACATTATATATATATATATAGTATATACACTGGGTGAATGTGCAGTAGTAGCAGCAAGCAGGTGAATTCTGTACATTAATATGAATAGACATCTGACTATTTTACAGGATAGACAATATAAACATATTTAAAATTAAAGGAATTGAAATGTACATTGTGCCTTGGTTTAGTGTCTGGAAGAGTCCTGTCTCAGTCAATTATAGATGATGTGAGAGGGCGGGTGTGTGTGTTTAGGGCACGGATGGCTTGGGGATAGAAGCTCCTCTTGAGTCTCTCTGTCCTTGCCCGGAAGATGCGGAACCTTCTACCAGATTGCAGAAGTTGGAACAGTTTGTTGCCAGGATGGGACGGGTCCTTCAGTATCTGCGCTGCTCTAGTCCGGCATCTCCTGGTGTAGGTGTCCTGAAGCGGGGGGAGAGCAATCCTGCAGCAGCGTTCTGCTGTACGGATCACTCTCTGGAGAGCTTTTTGGTCCTTCACACAGCTGTTCCCAAACCACGATGTCATGTTCTGTGTGAGGATGCTCTCCACAGCGCCTGTATAGAAAATCCTGAGGATCTTTGGAGAGACCCTGAACTTCCTCAGTTGTCGTAGGTGATACAGGCGCTGCCTAGCCTTTTTGGTCTGGACCTGAATGTGGGCAGCCCATGTCAGGTCTGAGGAGATGTGGACACCAAGATACTTGAAGGACTGCACCCTCTCCACTGGAGCTCCATTGATGATAATGGGCTTGTAGTCTCTGTGCTGATCCTTCTGAAGTCCACCACCAGCTCCTTGGTCTTGCCGACGTTCAGCTGGAGGTGATTGTCCTGGCACCACGATGCCAGATTCTTCACTTCATCCATGTAGGCCGTCTCATCGTTGTTGGAGATGGCACCCAACACCACTGTGTCGTCAGCAAACTTCACAATGGTGTTGGAGTTTAAATCTGTGTCATATTCGCCACATCAGGCAGTTTTTTGTAATTAAAAAAAATAACCTCATCATTTTGTACAACTTAAAAATGTATTGTGTGATTTATTTAAGTTACACTGATAAAGTCTCAAAAACTCACTGAAGTCACGTAACACATGACACACTTGGCTTTAAATGGTTAAAATCTCAAGAGAATAAAACTGAGTGGAGAAAGGGTTACACAGTTACAGTTACACAACAGTTCAAATCCACCGTTCAATCCTTGGAATTAGAATTTTCCTTTAGTGGGCCATGAGGGAATATTTTGTTCAGGCTGAACTGGCCTGCAGGGGCAGAAAACACACAGAGGAAGGAGGTGATGAAGATGGTGAGTCCTTCGTCTTCTCCCTGTAACAGCAGGGGTTTTCCATGAAGTCTTACACAACCGAGATGCTGCTCAGAGAACGATCGGGGCTACGTAACAATTCTTTCCTTTAACCATTTCATCATTTATGTATTTATGCAAATTAAAAATATCTTTTCTTCATTGTAATTTTTTTAAATAAGAGTTTAAGTGATGCCAAGACTGAGAAAAAAAGGTTAAATAAAAACAACTGATGTAAATACTAAAATAATACTTGGCTTTTAATAACCTAGAAATCACGAATCCCTGGTAAGCTCATAACTACAGTCAAAATAGCTGAGCACAGAAACAAAAGCAAATAAAATCAGCTGTTTTGAAGCCCAACAAAGGTGAAGTACCTGATATTTAAACACTCGCTCACTATTTGTCTATCTGGGGTTTATTCTACAGCATGGTTGTTATCTACACATACACACGACGGGTCACTACTAATGAGAAACTCTTCTTTGTAAGTGATCAAACGTATACATTCAGTAGGGGATTAGAGTAATTATTCACCCCACTCTAAATTTTCACGATTTCTTTCTCATTATATCTTCCTCCTCTTCATACACCTCCTCCACAACTGCTCTCTCCTCCCTCATTTCCACACTCATCCTCTTCCTCCTTACCTCAGTCACCATCTGCTGGAATTAAGTCACAAAGGCATAAGCATGCTTATCTATTCCTAATATTGCCAGAATTACTTACTGTCAGCAGATAAGACATGCGACCCTCCCATCTACAGACAGCTGGCAACAAGCGGCTAAACAACAACAACAGCTGGTTATAAACTAACATTGTGCCAGCTAATATTAGGCACGAGTGTTCTAAAATCATATTCTCCCTCTGATAAACAGTTTGATTACATTCTCACATCTTATTTATCCAAGTCCAACAATGTTAGATCCATTTTCTATGTTAGATCAGTTTCTCTAACACAGCTGCAGAAACAGCAGTGCTTACCAACAGAAATTCAGGATATCCCCAACAATACACATCAGTATAGCGTTCATGAGTGAACCTCACTGAGTCATCGATTCGTATCGGACAAGATGTGACCACGTGGCATATTGACAGCTGAGGTAAACAGCAGAGGGACGGTCTGCACTCACTATAGATCAGGGTGGGCAACTCCAGGCCTCGAGGGCCGCTGTCCTGCAGGTTTTAGATCGCACCTTGGGTCAACACACCTGAACAGAGATGGGCAGTAACACGTTACTTGTAACGCGTTACTGTAATCTGATTACTTTTTTCAAGTAACGAGTAAAGTAAGGGATTACTATTGCAAAAACGGTAATTAGATTACCGTTACTTTCCCGTAGGAACGCTGCGTTACTGCGTTACTAAAACCGTGATTTTTTTGCGAGAATGTCTCATGACAGTGACGTAAGCGAGTGCGACCGTTAGACAACAGCTGTGTGCAGATCAACAATGGATCACATATCGAGTGCAGAGAGAGTATGAGCGTGCAGCGTTTAAAGCGTGGAAGTACTGACCTTACTTTGAGTTTGATTCCATAAAAAGTGACAAAAACATTAGTGTCCGCTGTGCGTGGGAAGAAAACTTCTTTTTACAGCGAAAAAAACCCCTAAACTTCCAACAAGCACCGAGTAGCTACGACGTAATGGGAAACTCACAGAGAAACTCGCGGATTCTTCCACTGACCGCGGCACACCTGCACCAGGGTAAACCTCCGCCTACCCCACTCCTGCTTTACAGGTGAAAATAGAGCAACAGGACCGCTGAGTCTTTGACTTTATTTATTTTCTGCTGTGTTTTACTTGCATCTATTTGAAAGACTGAGTGTAAACACAAAAAATATTTTATTTTATGTGCTGGAATGTGCAGAAAATAGGTTTAAATGTTAAACTAATTTCTTCCAGTCAGAGAATGTTGCATATAATTAAATTTTTGCTTGATGCATAAAGTTAAAAGATTAAAACTGATAAAACAAGTTTTAAAAAGAGACTTTTCCATTTGATTACATTTTGTATGATGGATTATGCAGAAAAAGTAGAATTGGGCTGAAAGATCTATCGCTTTATCACCTATTCAGGTTGTAAATCGTGTTTTTAAAAAGTAACTAAGTAACTAAGTAATTAATTACTTTTGAAAATAAGTAATCAGTAAAGTAATGGGATTACTTTTTGGGGAAGTAATCAGTAATTAGTTACTGATTACTTTTTTCAAGTAACTTGACCAACACTGCACCTGAATCACATGATTAGTTCGTTACCAGGCCTCTGGAGAACTTCAGGACATGTTGAGGAGCTAATTTAGCCATTTAAATCAGCTGTGTTGGTTCAAGGACACATCTAAAACCTGCAGGGACACCGGCCCTCGAGGCCTGGAGTTGCCCACCCCTGCTATAGATGAACAACAGTGGTGAGATTTTGCACACTGTACCTTTAAGTATTACAAAATTATCTTTGGAATTTGTTATGAGAATGATTTGGCCAATCCTGCAAACTAAAGCTGGAAATCTGAATCTCACTGGTCTTAAGTTACTCTGAATGTGTAAATTTGTGCCTGCATACAAAGACTGTTTGTATGTCAAACCAGAAATTTAAATGAACCAGGAAGGAAACTTGAGCTCGAGTCAGCCCAGGTGAGAGCGACACTGACTGTGTTCAAAACTTGTTTGGTTTGACATTGTAACCTGCTATAGACAATACTGCTAAAGCTAATCTCATGAAGCTAATTTAAGTCAGAAAAAAGACACAGGCATGAGCTTATATCCTGATACATCCCATCAAAGTCTCAGCCGTTTAACAACAGGTGCTTCTCCTTTTCATTCAGGATCACACTCCACTTTAAAGACCAAGTCTGCATTATTCATTATGCAGTATTGGCTGGACGAGCCTCGGGCCACACCTCTGGCATGTTAGAGTACGTATAAATAATGCAGATTATAATTATAAATAAAACACGTCCAATAACACACTGTACTCTTGCTCTCTGCATATTCCAAGTTCCAAATTAAGTCGAGGTGTTTCAGAGGTATTAAACTGAGGAGATGGGCATACACAGAGCAAAAGATCCAGCATGCCAGGTCGCATTTTAGCAGGTAGCACTGAGTCTCTCCCTGTAATAAAATGCAATTTCCTTTTCTATTCGTGATTACAGAGTCTGATGAGACATACACTCGAGAGGCGCTCATCCCAAACATGCAGGAGAAGCGTGGCTTGGCTTAGGATCTCGCAGATCTGATAAAGACCCAACAAGTGAGCCCTTTCCTTCCTGAGTGGAGAACTGTTTGTGTTACAACGTTCTGCGTCTCTTCTTCTGGGTGTGGGAACCTGCCCCTCCCAGAGTCCATGGTTTCCTCTCACCAAGGACCCGCCACCAGCTATCCTATGTTTCACTCAGCCCTAAATGTGACTGAAGAGAGCTGCAAATGCTAAAAATCTGCTCAAGTGAAGTTCTTATCTGCATGTACGATAAACCGTCTCAAAGTCATATAGAGGGTTTGTAATAATATAAGCGTATACAACACATATATATATATAAATAAAGAATGTATCTACAACTTTAATTTCTTTTTATCCTCTGCATACAGTTGCAATGCAGATGTACAATGGTATATTAGCCAAGAATTTTAAAAATAATGGTGTTGCTGATATACCTTTAAAAAGTCACATTGACTTTTTAAAAAAGAAAATAGATATAAGGAAAGAAGAAATCTTTACGTACAATTATTTAAGACTTTAAAACTGGCTTTTCTGACTTCATATAAGTTAAGAGTTAACGAAACGTATTCATACAGCAGCTTGATGCACAAAGACAGTTCAGAGTACTTTGTGTATTTAGCTTAAATTATTATTTTAAAAAAGAAGATATAAATTAGCAGGTCAGGCACCGTAATCATGACAACTTGTTACTATGAAATGTAGCAGTTTTATTCATCTTAGCTATGTTTAGCATGCTAAAACATCACTGACATAACACAGAAACTCAGAGGAGGATTATATTGTTTAAGCACGTGCCTTCCTCAAAAACCTAAAGCATCAAAAGCTCACGAAGCTCAACATTTATACCTTTACATTTGAATAAGCTTCAGATGCTTATTCTGTCCAAGAGGGTCCTGGGCAAAGTGAACAGAATATAATTGACTCTGTCAAATCTTTGTCTCGGTCTAAATGTGTGGTCTGGAGTTTAAATCAGCTGGAAGCTGTAAAACTGACTTCTCGCCATTGTCTCGTGTACGTCATCAGAGCAGCTTGTGTGTTCTCCCCGTGGGGAAACTCAGAGGAATGTCCACAGCTGATAAAACCCAAAAAAGCTCACCCAGACCTCATCAAAACACACCTCCCGGCATTCCCAGTGATTGTTTGAGTGTTTACACTCAGTTAGGGGGAGAAAGGGGGGCTTATGGTCAAGTCTGGCTCGCCTGGTGATTGGCATTCAGGGTGGCCCAACAGTGGGACATCAGTTCATTGTTCAAAATGTTCCATAAGTTTAGACATGTAAAGCCATAGTAGACTCAAATGCTATGAATTAAAGGCTGAGTGCATAGGATTTAGGGATCTGTTGGCAGAAATGGAACAGAATTCTTTTTCATGATATTATTAGAGCCTTTTCTATCTAACAGACCTCCTTCTAAAATCAATGCTGCATTCCTTTTGTATTTGGCACTCGCTAAATAAGCCACACACAGCACTGATCAGGCTCTCCAGACACTGCTTTTGAGGTTTCTAACATGACATTGTGTGCACATTGTGTGGAAGTTGTCTACCATATTGGATGTGATACAACCATCATTTGCAATAGAGACATGTATTTCCTGACTGGTTGGTCAGTGCAGGTTTCTGACAGTAGCTCTGTGAAATCAGTCACAGTGTGCTGAACCCAAAAAACTCTCCTGATTGCTTTGGTTGCTAGCAGATCGACTGCAAACACTTGCTAACCAGCCAGGTGGAGAAATAGCGAGGATTTAAAATAAAAGTTGTGCCTCAGTGCTGTAGCTAACAACTCAACTACGCTCTGATGGGAGAGTAGTTCCATCTTCCCTGCAAATTACAGACAACTGAGGGGATCTAGTAGAGACCAAAGCAAATGCAAGGACGTTTTCAGTGAGCATCACAGACCTGTCAGATGGTTGCTGACTGCAGATTTTATTTACTTGGTCGTGCAACTAGTGATGGCTGAATGGCTGTACCTGCTAGAGAGCAAACGTTGCCCGTTTTAACTACTACTGTTACTGGAATGAGGTCAACTCACGTCCGATGTCACTCCTAGCTCCAACCTCTGTTTCACAAGGTAAAAGGAACGTGGAATAATTGTGCATGTTGTAAAAAGTACATTTAAACATCCACGTGATCGGACTTGGGAGTGGCAGAGCCAAAACTGCAATAGTTGGCATGATGGAAATGAAAGCATCCTGGAATTCCACACACTGCACTTCTGAACTGGTTTTATACTTAAGAGACAATAAGAGATTATTAGGAGTCGATACCTATAGTGTTACTTTAGTTGATTGTTAAGCCTCAGATTTCACCCTTTGGTATCAATACTGTGACATTGGGTAGCTTTTTCCTGCACAACTGGACCAGATCGTGCTTTAATTATTTTCCAAGGTAACGCTGTGTTGTGCTGTTCCATTCAGTTTGTAATAGAAGTTGAAATGGCCTTGTGGTCTTTGACTCTTTGAATACTTCAGTGCATTAGCCTGACATTTGTTATTAACACAAAATACTATTGTGATGGCGAGCCAAACATGGTAAGATCAGCACCTCACCGCTAGTTGCTTCACTTCACTTTGCAGTCCCAACTTTAAATATATTTTACTAATTGTCCAGTATATAGTTTCTTTATTAAATTAGTTTTTTCCATAACACCTTAAAATGTTTATATGGAGTGCACACAGATCAACAATGCAAAGTCAAACTTTTGTTTGGGGGGGTTGGCTTCTCCTTCCTGGTTGGCAAAAACTGAACCAAATGCTTCATTGCCTGGGGGTGTTTTATGGTTTAGCTAAGCTCGTATTTAAGTTCCCTCATGCGTCATCTCAGCAGGTTAGTTTGCCTTATGTTTGTTTGAGTTTAGTTTATTGAGTTGACCTCTTTTATTGTTCTGCCTGTCTTTGTTTTTGGCTTTGTTAATTATTTTTCATATTTTGGGGTCAATAAATGAAATTGAATTAAACCCCTGTGTCCTTACTGCTTGGTCCCTGCAGCTGAGGCTGATGGGATGCATGTCTCGATGGTTTCACAGGTTGGTTCAGCATTAAAAAAAATAAAAATAAAAATAAAAACATCTGCTATAATGGCAATGTCAAACAAAAAATCAGCGAATCAGAGTTACCCTGGCCTGCAACAAATTTTAATCCAACCAACACAACAGAAACACATTTGTCAACCACATGATGATACCAACTGGCAGCTTGATACAAACTCTGACATACAAAACTCAAAATCACAAAGTGAAATCTAACAAAACTAAAGAGTAACAGAGTTGATTAGTGTGCAGGGTGAGGTCTAAATTCAGTTAGAAAAGCACATAGAACTTCATGCTCGAACTACGGCTTGCTGGAAACAGATGTGAGTCTGCGTGTGATACTTTTATCAGACATCAGAGTAAATATAATCCAAAAAACTGAACATGAACAGCACTCCGCAATCAACATGTTTTCAAGCTTAAAGTCAAAGTAAAACATGTAGGTTGCATATTGCATGTTGTTGCATAGATTGC